TGAGGGGGGTCGTAGGGGGTCGTGGCAGGGTATTCCCCCTCCCCACAGCCCACCCGTGTCGGGGCGACCTTTTGTTGTTCGTGGATCCCTCGCCGTTTTCAGTGACCGAAGCCCCTTCCTTTCTTCCCGCGAGGGAGCGGGAGGCGTTATTGAAGCCGCGGCTGTGCGTGCATCGTTGGAGTGAGTGCGGTTGCTGCGGATGGCCCTCCAAAGCAAATGGGGGCCCGTTGGGGATGAGGTCTGAGTATTTCCTCTCCCCCCACCCCCCACGACCACCATCACCCCCTTTCCCAGGGAGTGCAAGGCCTCGGGTTTCTCAGTCCCCTGACAGGAAAGAGAGGGACTCTTCTCAAGGAGCGCCTCCGAAATACAGATTAAACAATCGTCACAGACTAGAACTAACTGCAGGAATGCTTCAGTTCATTTCCAGTATATCATGTTACTAGGATTCTGGCTTGCAGGCTGAGAGACATGCGGAGTTTTTTAACCTGACATGTTTCTGGAGAGTTAGAGATTTGGCAGCTTTAGTTTCGCTTCTCCACATCCCCTCTCCCCAGTTTATGCCATTTGTATCATACATAGCGCCCTTTAATGCTCTGCCAGATGTTTTCAACTACAGTTACCATAATCTCCAACCAGCGTGCCTAGTATTTAAGGATGATGGAATTGTAACCCAGAACATCTGGAGAGCATCAGACTGAGGCAGACACATCTGCTCAGAAGTAAATCTGATCAACTTCATCAGGGTTTGCTCCCAAATACCAGTAGTAGCAGACAGCCCCTATTCACACAGGCTTAGACATCCTTTTCTATCTGATAAAGCTGGAACTTGGAATTGCCTAATGCCATTAAATGGTAAGGGATACAGGACAGATATATATATATTCTGTAACATTACACAAGAGTGAGAAGGGGAGTACTGTAGATACATTCATGGAAGATAGCAGTGGCTACCTCTCAGGATGAGGGTAGGTTCCTTCTCACATCAAAGGCAGTTGCTAAAGAACATAGCCTGGGAAAGTGTAGCTCACATCCTGTGTGTAGGTATCTGGTTGACCATTGTGGAAACAGAAGGCTCAACCAGATAAGCCTTTTTTCCCCCCTCTTTCGTTTTGTTAGGAAATCACTTTCAGAACTGCTTAGGCATAAAGGGAATAAAACTCAGTTTTTAGACTCATTAAGGTTTTTTTTTAGCATAATCAGGAGATAAACAGTCAACTACAATGAAGGGGCGGATGCAGAAAACACAGGGTGCAGAGCCCGAAACCTACAGAATGTGAGAGCCATTGTTTGCTCTAGCACTTAGTTTCTTCTTAATTTTATATGAAAGAAGCACAAGAGTATTCTTTAGTTAAGGCAAAATAAGTTTCCTCATTACAAGACTCTATTGCTTATAAGCACAACATTTAGTAGCCTTTGATTGGCATACATAATCTACCTGACAGAACCTGCCAACATGCCAAAGGTTAAAATGTTGTTTTATCGCTAGAAACAAATAACCACATCTTTTGTAACCCTGTCTGTTAGACTGGGACAGCATTTTCAAACATAATACTCCATCATAGTATGATTTTATGATTATGAGGGGATTATGCCTACGTGGTGGCGCTGCGGGTTAAACCACGGAAGCCTTTGCGCTGCAAGGTCAGAAGAGCAGCAGTCGTAAGATTGAATCCACGTGACGGAGTGAGCTCCCGTCGCTTGTCTCAGCTCCTGCCAACCTAGCAGTTCGAAAGCATGTAAAAATGTGAGTAGATAAATAGGTACCACCAGTCGCGCTGGCCACGTGACCACTGAAACTGTCTTCGGACAAACACTGGCTCTACGGCTTGGAAACGGGGATGAGCCCCGTGCCCTACAGTTGGACACAACTGGACTAAATGTCAAGGGGAGCCTTTACCTATATCTATAAAATGTTAGACAATTAGGTTTAGGTGTTTTTGTGCTATTTATGTGTAGTGTTGAGTATCTGTGTTTGTTGACAACTTGAAAAAAGTTGTGATCTGAACTTATATTTAGTGGTCTGATAGACACCCAGTCAATGCAGGCAGGTGAACAGGCTGATGAAAAAGGGAACGGATCAATCCACTCTTCCTCTTTAGTAAAAGGCGAAAGATTTATACGATCTGAAGAGAAACCACTCTTCCTGTATCAGCCCGCTTAGCTACAGAAAAAAATACAGCCTGTTACACGTAGCTGTT